TTTTCGCATGTCAATAGCCACTCATTGCTAATATTGAAGGAATACTAGGTAAGGCCGCGGAATTGGACGCGATCATGTGCGGAGGAGAGATGACTAGTACGTACGTGAACTCAAGTCTCCGTGGGAAAGCGCAATTTCTCGATTCATTTTACTCGACTGGCACAAGAGTTTAGATATTCGATGTAGTCTCTGCCTTGCAGTCAGCTGTCACTACCACGTTGAAGCCATTTTGCAAATGGACTGTTCACTTTTCGACCCGAGAATTCCAAATATCCGCACACGTCTACAAGGCCCAGAATTGTAATAAAGTGCCTGCCGAACAGCAGTTAGTATCACAGTTCAAATGCTTCGTATTTCAACTAAATTAGTAGATTTTTACATAATGCGTAGGCCAAATTTACTTGCTTTTTAGCATTCGTCCTGCCCCTGTTTGTGTGGGCTGATTTTCGAGACAAGCTAGGGACCATCTCCTTTTTCCCTTTAAAACACATGTTGTCGATCCAAATTAACGCTTTCTTCTGCCAAGTAAGAAATCTTAAGGCGCTACATTTATGACAGCAGATAGCAAATATTGATATTTCAACAGCTTCTATAGTGCATCCGCCGTTTGCGACATATACTTGCAGTGCAGGAAAGGCGCATCTGTCTCAGACCGGCAATTCTTAAAATAATTTAAAACAGAAGGCTTAGAAATAATGTCTTTTTTGTCTCCACCATGTTCCCTGTTCTCTTGACTACATTTGCTATCTATATGTTGGATGTGGCACTACGCCGGATCTCCTCACATAAAAGACCGTGCTTGGGTCCGTTTTACCTGTTAAGGAGCTGTCCTAGATCAGTGTTTCGGGGCCTAGTCCTGGAAGTAATTGATGGTTAACGGATGTAAATGATTCTCATTCCTGCTTCTAGACCAAACGTTACTCCAGATCCGGTTGAATTTGCTGCGGGGTGGGTTCAATCCATTGGTCCCCTGGTAGCTGATGGCTGGTACGGCTGGCTCGTGGAGGTTTCTTTATAGCACGAGCTATGTTGGAATGGTTGGCGTGGGAGAGGCGTATAAAAAATACTACTGAATACTGCTTAAAAGAACAGAGGCAATGTAGTTGTCCGTATCTGTGAACACTTGATGTCTGACAGTTAATTTTATGGGCTAACCTTTGGGCCAAGCCAAAGTCAAATCCCTTCTTATTCTGTAAAATGCATATATGTGGCCCAACTCAACGTCTTTTTACTCAGGGGGAATCGCGTTACTGGTAAGCGCCATTAAGTGACCTCGTTAGTTGCATTAAAGAGTTATTCGCACCCATGTGTTTAGTTTTCTCTTTACCATGATTTCCGTCATGATCTTTGAAAATTTTTCTTTCACGTTATTTCAAAACTAGTTAGGTGAATTTGTTGTACTCATTTTAATCGGCCATATTTGTGTTTTACAGGATCGTCGCTGGAACCGCATTTGTCGTATTGAGTCTGAAGATGCCAGTCAAGTTGGTAACATCTGACGAAGTTGCCTTTGATGTCGATCTGGAGATCGCTAGACAGTCTGTGATGATTAGAGATATATTAGATGGTACATAATCGCGTGTGTATTATTTATCTCTTGTTTTTAGCGATGCATTCCTCTCGCTTTTATTTATTTACTTAATTTCTGCCATTCCCTTTTTATGCCGTTGTAAATGCTTGCTCCATATTTACATACTTATTGACTGTTGCATATTTTACGTAAGTCATCTAACGGCCGCCTTGAATCTACGCCTTGAACGAGCACCGTGCTTTTACTGTCGTTGTTTTCTCATACGGTGGCTTCCTCATCTTATTTCATCGAGGTCCCACTGTGAACTGAGTTATGTGACTTACTTGATTGTTGTTGCCTGTTAGTCAGCTGCTTTTTTGAATAGATGTTGGACCTGAGGCTGCAGAAGACGATGAACCTATCCCCCTTCAATATGTGAATGCCGCGATCTTTAAGAAAGTTATTCAGTGGTGTACATATCACAAAGACGACGCTCCACAACAAGATGATGATGAGAACAAGGAACGTAGAACGGATGATATATCTAGCTGGGATCAAGAGTTTCTGCGAGTTGATCAAGGGACACTTTTTGAGCTCATCCTTGCGGCCAATTATCTTGACATAAAGGGTCTGCTTGATACGTGTTGTAAGTCTGTTGCCAACATGATCAAGGGCAAGACACCTGAGGAAATTCGCAAAACCTTCAACATAAAGTCAGATTTCACCCCTCAAGAGGAGGAGCAGGTAAATTGGGCGATTCCTGCCTTACTAAATTCTTGCTTCATGCGTTTTTGATGTGGCCAATTAACAGTTTTTTACTATTCATTTATTATTTGTTGCTTCTATTAATCAAGGTACGGAAAGAAAATGAATGGTGTGAGGAAAAGTGAATGCTTTTATGTTCTATCATTTACTGTCATATGTTGCTCGACTTCAGAAATATATGTAATCGCTAGCATCGTTATCTCCTATCATTGTAATGATTTTGCGAGTATTCTGGACAAAGTGGGGTGTTTAACTTTGCCTGTTGTTTCTTGCAGTTTTTTGTGTAGGTCTTTGTGGGGAGCTGAGTGGATTTGTTGGAGGCTGTGAAATGTGATCGTATCTATCGTAATGCCTTCAACACTTCGTACCGCAGAATGTTTATTTAATGTGGAGAAATTTGGGTTCGTCTACACCATGGAGTTGAGCTGTGGTCAACGTATAGCGGCGAAACGCATTGATCATTTATCAATGTTTTAGTTGTGGGTCAACCGGAGTGGGGATTCATCATTCCTGTACCGACTCTGATCTTGGTGGCCCAGGATTGTTAATGTCTGTGCATCAAATCTTGCGTGGTAAGACGCTATAGCTTTTTGGGAGAAGGGCTCGAAACATTTTTGCATCCGAAACAAAATGGATCTGGTCGATCAGTGTAATCCTCAATAAAGTCCCAAGACATGATGACCGTTGCGCAGGCTGGGGTACGATCATACGTTTGCGAATTGATGTTTCCTTGATAGTCATACAAATGGGTATAAGCGCATTTCATCAGTACCAGACAATGCGCATTAAATCCAACCTTGAGGTCATAGAGTTGAGCCCATCTCCCAGGGCGCTATGCTTGTGCATAGTTGAGATTTGCAGGATTGTATTGTGAACAAATGGATTTGTAGCCTGTAAGGTGGATCAGATCAATGTAGATGTCTTATGTCCTGTCTAATCTCAGTTCACGATCTCAGAAGTCGGATGCCTCTTCACCCTTGTCACAATTCTTCGGGTAAAGCCCTTCGATAAAGTTAGTCCACGCGACCTTGCACACCAACTTTAGAGACAAGCCTGGTGCAATACCATCACTAATTCACTTCATTGTGTACGGTATCGTTTTCCTCTCACCTAGGCTCCGGACTCTCAACTTCGGAACACATTCGTTAGTACTAGCTACTGTCCTGGAATTCGTTGAAAAATTACCTCCCGTGACGATACAGTCTTGTGAACAAAAGTCATTTTACGTGACCTATAGTCAACACCACTCAGTAAATCCTATCCGAGGAGCAGTTTGACGTCCGCCAGCCCCAGACGGTGAGGCGACACCAATACCCTCTGTTTTCCACGTTGCCATATTCTGATCCAATCCTAGCTCTCGATTTTGATGCAGGCTAGTTTAACACCAATGACTTCACGACCGTTTCAATGGGCAGTTCTGATAGTGTCAAATTACACCTCGTTTAAATCCTGGCTCCTCCTGATGTATTGAGCAGTGAGCGAAACGCACCTCCGTCAACAATCACTAGAGCGCGTCCTTTTTATGCAACGATAAAGAACTAACCAAGTCGAAACTTTACGTACTTCCGAAGGAACAAATTGCATGCCTTCGGGCATTATTACGAATTCAAATCAGACTATCATGATACGACCGTATTACTTAGTTCAAATCCAAGTTGCCTGCTCCATATATTGGAGTTTTATAAGAACATTTACGTGGTGGAGAAGTCGCTTGAACTCAAATAGCTCATACGGCTGCCGGCAGGTTATTTTCTACTCCATCCTCCTCACCACCAAACACTCAGAAAAAGGCCGTATTATTAGACTGAGATGTTTAGCAAAAACTACCAAAAGTCCAACTATAAAACACATTTACACTCAATTAATCACGTGAGTCAGACGAGCCGCAGTAGCAACGACCATATCACAATTAATAATAAGCATAAAGTACAGCAAAAGCCAGGCTTCGTCAGTCACCTTCGTTTTAGGTAGTTTTCGATTCCAATTAATTGCGACTGGACTATACGCGTCCAGCGAAGCAAATTGCGACGGGGATCCAAGTTCTCTTCTATATCAGGCAATTGCAAAGCAGCACACAGAACATCAATACCACCACCCGTCCTGCTCCGAACGCGTCGCGTGGACGACTTGGTGAAAGGCTTGTAAATCTTGGAAAGGAGACTAATACAGAGGGAGTGCAGAGCCCTAGCCAGCGGTAAGAGAGAAGGGAGCAATTCTATAGACAGCGATTCTGAATTCTCTTCGGTCACATCTTTGTCAATGTAATCATAGAGTAAGTTCACAACACGACGCAGCACAAGTGCTTCGCGGAGGATATTCTGGATACCAAATTCAGACAGCAAGTCTAAAAAGAATGTTTGAAGAACGATCAGTATTAGATGCCTAATTGTTTCCTCCCCGGATCATCATACATAATCAACCTATTCGGATTACTGAAGCCCACCTTTCTGCGTACCCTGCACCACAATAAGGTGTGTAACAATGCAAATGATGAGTTTATAGTCTTCGTGCTTTGATTGAGGGTCATTGTAATCAGCATCACCACAGCCACCACAGATGCTGAGATGGTTTTGCAGCCAGGACAGTGAGATCCTCAACTGTTCGCTGACGGTGGTAACAAATTGATCGGAATGGTGTTTGTTTACAAGCTGCTTTGAGAGGACTTTAACTCTGATCATGTCGAGCCGAAACGAAATTATTAAACGCACATCCAAGGGACTGAGATAGCTGTGAAGAAGCCGGTAGCAAAGGTCACCCGAAGTAACTTTTCGTCGCGCGCTAGAGGCACCAAGCTGCGATAGGTCTGTAGAGAGGAGGCTGTTCAATTGGAATGGCAACAGCTTCTCCACTTTGCGCTGAACTGATGCAACGTTATTCACTAGCCATAGGCTTGGGGACTGCAAAGGACAAACGACCAATGGGCATGAAGCTATTAAAGGATCTATAGCGTTGCTGGACGGTTTCGCTGCACTTGTGATTTAAGTGATCAATTTCAGCTACTTAAACTGTCTTATGGTAGTTGAACCGTTTCCTTGTTCAATAAGGATCTTGCCAATAAATAGCTCGTCATGCTAATATTCTGTTACTTTGGTTAGCGCTTGGAAAGCACTATTTTTGTCATGCAATCATGATCGCATCAATTTAATTGCCTTTCCACAGTGCTAGTACAGATTAACTTTGAACTGTAAACCATTTAGAATCAATTTACTGAATTGCAACCAGAAGAGATTAGTAAATATTTAACGACTTCGCTACCCTTCTGTGTCAAATCCAAATCAAAATACTTCTGATCTAATAAAAAGTCGAATTTATAGTTTAAAGACGTTGCCAACCTATGAAGGTCATTTAAAACACTAGTATCTTGGATATATCTTCCAAGAATCAGAATGATAAAGATCGGAATGAGCAAACATGTAGGAACCATCTATGGGTGTCGATTAAACCAACACCACATCCACACACAAGCTACTCCTAACAGTCAGTAGACACTGAAGACATGATGATATGTAACAAACCTCAGTCATTGAGACCTTCCCAAGACCACAGACAAAGTACTCGTTGGCTGTGCGTAAGACGTCGAGAATAAGCATGACAAGGGGTGCCAAATCGGTTTGGAAGGAGCGTAGCTCGGTGGCACTAAGAAGAGAAAAGCTCGGGGCAAGTGCTTCAATGGCCATTCCAAGGTGCTGCAAAATCAGCGGGAGAGGATGCCCATCGGCCTCAGTGAGAGCCTTTGGTGGCTCCAAGATCTCTGGTGCGTACACAGCAGCCACTTTGATCGACTGGAAGCGCAACGAGTAGATGAGAAATTGCAACGAGTGAGGCAAACGCTTCAAGCACTCCTCCAGAATGGGCGTACTAAGCAGGTAAAAGAAGCGCCGCAGCCACCTTTCGAAGTCTTGTGTAACATCTGGATCCTAACCAGTGGGTGAGAAGAAAATGAATTTTACTGCCCATATTTAACCTAGCCCATCTACCTACTCTGCTTTTAATGTTACCAAATAAGGTCCGGGGTGTATACATATAAAAACGTCTCTTTTTAGGTTTATAGAGTCGGCGGCATAAATTCAACCAATTCTCAATCGCAATTGGATCGGAATCTGCCTGAGTCAAACTACAATAGTCCATGCTTCAGGTAAAAGGATTCCATCATCCACGAATAGCAAGAAATGGACGTAAGACGACAAACGGCCGGAACTATATGGAAAGTGTGGCTTTCAGTCATCCAGAGAAGTCACCTTTGAGCTCCTGTACTAGAAAACAAAGATGTAATTGGCATTAGAAGACTAAAGGTGCTCGCAGTGAATTGTTCTTTTTGAAAAAGTTCTACTTGAACTAAAAAACAAAGTGCTTTACAAAAGTGGCAAATTTTCTAACTCAAAGCCCAGTAATAACATCAAGTAACCTCCTAAGATCATCCCCAATATCAATACACGCAAAGCAACTGAAAAGTCTTTATATATTTCCTTGATTTCCTACAATCATTTAAAACAGCACAACTATGCGTTTGTAGCATCGCATAGCTGAGTTGCTACACTATCGTACACCTACGTCCTGCAGCGTCTTTGGGAGTGGATTAAAAGCTATGGTATACACTTTGCATAGGTTTCAAAACAAATGTTCGTTATCCCACCTCCGAAAAAACTCACCAAATTACAACGCTATTCCAGCATACATTGAAGTGGAAACAGAAATGGACCTAGAAGGTAAGTGGCAACTGACTTAAAAAATATTTTTTTAAGTTGAGAAGAATGCTAAATGTGGTGACGACGGTTGTGACAACTGGATAATCGCCCCGCTATTGCAATTGTACCTAATACGTAGAAGATGGTTGCCTTGAAAAAAATCAGTGTTCATTTAAAGAGATCAGTTACGCAGAACAACACTAAAATCAAGAACATAGAACTTGTGAATAGCTTTAAAAAGAAGCCTTTCTAATAAAAAATATAACGCGATCAACTCAAACGTTTTCTGGATAATGTGAAGTGGTACATCCCAAAAAATCCACATTCTCAGCTTAATAAAATAAAAGAATTCGAAGCCAGTAGCACAGCAATGCTTTAAACTGTCTAAACCTGGATACTCCTAGCCCGAACTAATGAAACCGAAAATAAAGCGATGATCATGAAATCATAAAGAATGCACAGATAAATAAGCATTTCAATAAAGGTAACAACCTAAGAGATTGTGCTACAAGTAGAGGAATTAAAGATGATCTCAGATACTCATAGAACAAGGCGAAAAGATGGCGAAAACTCACCGTCTGCATATTGGGAAAACTGTCGGTATAGATACGCAATGTCAGCATGAATTCATTGAGGGCGAATGAAAGGTAGTTTGGCAGTCTAGAGTCGGGCAGAAGACGCGCAGTCTCATCAATGGCTACAGTAGAGGCAGGATTGGAGAAATCCAAGGATAAAAGCTGGTTGAGGCAGTCAATCGCAAGGTCCACCGTCCTCAACCATGTGTTCAGCACACAGGCAGTGGGGGTCGAGTACGACTAAGAAAAAAAACAACCACCTAGTCAACTTATTCAATGCAAAGGCAGAAAAATGGTAAGCCTGTAGAAAATCCAGAGACTCATCAATCAAATATTATAAAATGTGAGCTTAACAAACACAAACATGACTACCTAAAAAACTCAATAAGGATCAAAATGTAAAAAATAATAACTAATTAAAAAGTTTAAATTCCTTAAGTCCACTTAAATGAACTAAACGCTAAAGTAGCATAAAGGAAAATAATAAATAAAGCCTTAAAAAACTGGACAAGTAAAAGGGTTTAAAAAGAGATCTCAACAAACCAAACCGAAAGTCCATTTTCCGAGAAAGTGCGAAATGGCATTTAGCCCATTTCACTTTCTGACACACACACACACGCACACACACACACACACACCTCTACAACGATGACAAATTTTCTCATCAAACACTCATTTGCATTCCTCATTGACAAATATAATAGTAGGAAATATTCACTGCCACCATCACTCCAATCTCACCTCGCAGCACACACCTCGACCTCGTCTTTACCTCAGCTCAAACACTCATCCTCCACCTGCGACCACTTCGCCCACCTTCAATCACCTCCACGTAGCCACACTTTTCATGCACCACACATTCAATTCGCCAACAAAGCCATCAACAACATTCCCACACAAGTCGCAAGAAAAGAAGAGAAAAAAGTGCACTGCCACACCACACCACGCATCACAATATTCAACCCCTTCCTTCGTACACCTCTCCAACCCAAGCAAACTACCTCGCCACCACATTCCGCTCCAACACGCACACCTGCCTCTGCACATCCCAAATACACTCCTTCTCCTCCTCCTCCTCCTCCTCCTCCAAGGAATTTACCTCATACCACAAAATCCACCTCACAACACATTTTATAAAACTTCTCACCAACTGATGCACACATTTCAAAACACAACAAAAACCAGCCATCAAAAACGCGAAAAAAAAACCTTACACATGCCACACCTCCTTCACACACATGTTCACTGCCAGTCGGACCACTCGTGAGCACTCGCAACATCGGAAGCAAAAGAAGCGACGCCTT